GGGCCGCTGTCCTGCAGGTTTTAGATCTCTGGGTCAACACACCTCAATCACATGATTAGTTCATCACCAGGCCTCTGGAGAACTTCAGGACATGTTGAGGAGGTCATTTAGCCGTTTGAATCAGCTGTGATGGATCATTAAAAACTGCAGGACACCGGCCCTCGAGGCCTGGAGTTGGACACCCCTGCTGTAGAGGAACAGAAGCAGGCATTGGTACGCTGAACGTTTGATCTGTTTCTGATCATTCACAGCTGAAAGCTCTGGGGAAAAAAGTGCATTCTGGGTAAATGCTGAATGCTCATATCACCACGTGGGATAGGTGGCTGTTTAATCAACTGACAGCGTATGAAAGTGTCAGGGACCTGGGTCTGAGCGAACCAGGGTCCATGAGCAGTTGTGGACTCGTATTATATTGTGTGTTTTCAGCACTGTGCTGCTGTCCTGTTTCCATGCTTGTGTATGTATAGGCAGGTGTGCGCGCGTGCACGTATGGGTGCGGCTGCGACGGGCACCTTCAGGTCTGGTGGGTGTGGCCACACATAAGGACCTCACACACCTGCAGCTGATCAGGATTGTTGGGGGAGCTACACAGGAGTAGCTGAGCGCTCCTCGACCCTGGATTGTTGAGTTAAAGTCCAAGTGAGTGCGTGTCTAAGTGTAGCGTCGTGCTGGTTGTGTATGCCCGCAGGAATAAGTGTTTGACGGCTGCCTCTGTTTCCTGCAGGAGGAGCGTGGAGCAAAAAAGGGTAGCATGCACGGGGAGTGCAGAGAGACACGGGAGGAAGAGGGAGCTCACCGGGATTAATTGTTCTTGTTATTTTCTCCACTGTAAATAAAACACACTGTTCATCACAAGAGTCCTGCGTTTGGGTCGTCCATCCCCACGGTCTGCCAGCGCAGCCGTGACAGAAGGTCTTATGTCTGAAAGACCTTATGTTTGCCTCCATTTGACGACAGCATCATCTTCTAGTTGAGATTCCTTCTGTGTCAGAATCATTTTCTAATATGGGATGCAGAACGGGAGAAACCAGCCAAAGAGCCAAGAACACCAGCCGTGCACACAATCAGCCGTGCACACAATCAGCCGTGCACACAATCAGCCGTGCACACAATCAGCCGTGCACACAATCAAGAAGAACCGGACTTTTCTATATGCTCATCTCAACTGTCTGCAAATATCTCTCGAAAATGTAATTTATTCAACAGCTTCTGATGAAAAAACTGTAAATAAGTGGTTTTGCCCCAAATCCTCGTCCAGCAACGCTCAGGGCAGCCGCACATGCTCAGGGTGTGATGTGCCCAGAAATGACTCTTTATCTGTCGGCATCATCAGTGAAAATTCAAAGAAGGGACACAGTTTGATGTCTTCAAATTAAAATATGAATCTAGAAGTTTTTGTACTGTAGAAAAGATAAAAAAGTAAAAGTTAAAAATGTGACAGGAACAATTAAATCTGTGCAATTTTGCTTTTATAAGTAAGTTAAGAATAAAAACAAATCCGATATGACTGTAAAACTGATCTGGTTGCAGTTTTTTAACAGAGCATAAAACATTTTTTCAGCTGTAAAAATGTCCTGTGGACACGTCACACACCCACTCACGATGGTGCGCCTGTAACTAAGGCAAAGATTTCTCAGGGCCTCATTAAATATATTAAAGTTATTGCAGGTGTAAACACCCGTTTGCCTCACAGGTCGGCTCCTTCAGGCTGCTGCTGCTGTCTGAAAAGCAGATTCACAGACAGTCTGTGGGATTTACAACAACAGCTACAAACAACTTTTAGCAACTGAAACCAGAAAAGAGCAAATGAAGATCAGGGAATAAAAGTGTGCGTCTGTATCCTTTACACTTTATAAATACATGTAGTTACAGGTAACGCTTCATTCATAAAGTTTTCCTCCCGCCTCTTCGTGGGAACTCGTGCCCTCGGCTCTGTCCTGCAGGAGTCAGCAGGTTAATAATGGAGGCCGTCCCTCGTCGGGTTTTAAGCCCAGGTGAAAATGAGGTCCGTTCGTCCTCCCAACGTCCTTCTGAAGCTGATACCGTGAATTAGTTTTCACAGAGTCTGAGAACTTCCCCGTCTCACTATCTCGACTCTAATCTTTCAATTACTGCGTGTGTGTGTGTGTGTGTGTGTGTGGAGGGATTTTAGAGATAAAGAGGCTTTTTGAGGACGTGCAGAGAGGACCTGTGACCACACAGACACATGCTGAGAGAAGATTCAGCGATTAATCAATAATTTTACCATTTTATGTAAAAACCTTTTCGTCCTGACAAACTGGTGCTTTTTCACGGCCGCCTCGACTGCTCTCTGCCTCCATCACAGGTTTGAAACTGATCATTGAAGCACTGTTACACATAAAAGCCAACGTTGTTACAATAGTTTAGTTGCCACAGTTAAACAGTCAGTGTTTAGGTGAATCTGGTTAAGTTTTGAGGGGTAGAAGCCACCAGTTACATATTAATTTTGCCTAACTACTGCATTCATT